ATATATATATAGGTAATAATAAACATAATATTGATGCAACCAATCGCAGTTATATCATTAGCTTTGAATGATCGACTTTTTTTTGTCCTTGTCCAGCCCCCAAAGAAAGGTGACGTCTAGTCCTCTTGAAGTCTACCGCGTTCGGGCAGGTGTTTCATAAACAGGATTTCCTAAAATGTGTTAGCGTCGGGCCACGGGTAATAAAAATAATTGAATCTGTTAGTAGATTAATAAAAATTCATAATTGAAGTTGATGACTGAGACTCGCATCGCACAATAGTATATAGCTACGTCACTTATTATTTTCGTACATTGCTTTCATTAAAATTCAAAAAGTTCAGGTGACGCTTCAAAGCAAGGATCTATATCTATATTCTATTTATATATAGTATATGAATTTTTAGATTTCATTCCGCTATGAACGAGAGTTTATTACATTTTGTATTTGCGACGTGAATCCTTCAAACAAGCTCAGCTAAATGCTTCTCATTGCTTCATTACTTCACATCGTGATTGTGTCTCGTATCACGGTCACACGACCGAATTGCAACTTACCATTCTCAAAAGGTTTATTTCACTTATGAATAGGCTATGTACGTTTGGCGTGTACCTCATTGTCGTGAGCAATTTCTCATCGATTGCTCGATCTTTTGTCGCCGGGGAAATTCCTTTTGTACATTGGACCGTATCATAACCGTCTCACTAGGAACATTTTTTATTCGGCCAACGTCCTACGGGCGATACGTTTACGTCGAAGACACTCAGTTTGCTCTATTTAGTTGTTTAGGATAATTTGAATGGACCATCGACAACGAAACCCTCGTTTTTACACATGGCAAACCCTCAGAGGGTTGCTCAGCCTTTTCCGAAGTTCGACTGCCTCACATGCTATTGTATTATGTACTTGTAATTGTGTAATGATTTGTTCTTTGAGCTGATCAGCTTGTCTAAGTATCTCCTTAATCCTCTAAAGTGAAAATGGGTAGCTGCCGAGTCTTCTCTAGCTTTTTCCTTTGATGAAGATAATGATTGCTTGTTTTAGGTCTACTTTGAGGGCTGGAGCTTGGCGCTCCTAGTTGTGCCAGCCTGGCGTACGACAATGACCAGAATGGCGGCGATCGCGCCGATAGCGCCACCGAGCGCTGCAGCAGTGGAAATCAGGACACCCATTTTTTGAGGAAAGATTAGTTTTTCTTTGAGACCATCCGTCATCGGGCCGGTTGCCTCCATACGCTAGGGAAAACGGAAGAAATCGGAGGGTTATATCCAGTATAATCGACCCTAAGCAGTGTCAAGCGTTTTAGTCGTTCTACAATTAATCTGAGTCATTCAATCTCTAACAGATTTTTAGACAGGTTATTGGCGCAGTCCTCTGTAACAACAACAGTTAAAGGTGCTTTATTTATTTTTCGCCTATTTTCACAATAACTTTATGGATAACCTTTATTGCGCTTTACTTACATATTTATCTGCTTGTTTGTTAGGAGTTAAACTTACTGCCACCTATGCCTGCATGAATAGGTATATTACCTGCCTAGGCACCTAATTACCAAATTAGGTTTGTGTTACACAAGTAAGTGGACAATTCTAAAGCAAAGTTTCTTTTTAAGTGTAGTCTAGCAAGTGGGTTTGCCTGATCGCAGGCCATGCTAACATAACCGTAAACGAGCTCGTGAACAGAAAGGCTAATGAAACCATCTTCATGACGCTCTGCCTGGCACGCTTTCTGTAAACGATTTGCTGACTATTTTCCACGTTATCTATTAATTGCCAAGCAAGATTATCGAACAACAGCGCAACAAGACACCTGCATTGTTTTTTCGTGTCAAAAGTGGTAATGCTGTACGCTGGTATTTAGTTATGCCTTAGTGCCTTCGAGCTATTGACACACCCCGCAACGTGGTAGACGTCTTGACGATTTCGCCGTTTAGAGGCCGAAAAATTAACATTATTCCGCTGTTCATGGAGAAATAGACTCTATTTTAACGTTGTAGCAAGAAAGATACGCAATCAGGTAATCGACCAATGTCCTATACCGAATTCTATCAAATTGTGGAAGATATCATGATTTTCAAGTTAAAGAAGCTCTGCTCCGATAGGAAGAACGACTCTACCTATGGCATACTAATGCAAATCAGTCGTTGTGACAAAACGCTAAGTAAGAGCGCTCTCAAATCACGGTGTACTAACCTCTTCGACCCAGGCAATAGGCATGACTCGGCTGGACACGTTCGCGAGCGGGCTAAAATTATAAAATCCGTTCAATCAATATATGGCCCCTTCAATAAAACTATTAGATTGAGTCATCCGATCGCTTAAAGCTATAAAACTGCACGCGAGTGCAAAGTTATATTTTTATTACAGCTATTCTATTGTTAAGACTGAACAGCGCCAAAAAGTGCATAACTTATCGCGAGTTCTTGTCTATGTCCTGTTACTACGATATTTCGGAATCACTGAGTAAATAAATTGAAAAACAAAAAAATACCTATTATATTGGTCTATGTATGAGAAAAATATGCGCTAATTTATAATTCTCCCAAGCATTAGGGGCAATTCGAGCGATACAATAGCAATTGAAGATAAAATTGAAGAAAAAAACACGCACGTAGAGTGATAAAGTTGAAGATTACTTGCCCACGATTCTTAGATTGATGTCTCGTTAGGTAAAAGCTAGTCTATCGTTTACAAGACCAAGGAACCAAGTTAAAAAAGTTATTTAGCGTCTTACAGAAAAAACAACTTGTAGTAGCATTACGAAAGCCTTACTAAAGTAGATCGCTTTGCTTGAGATCGATATTAATCTGAAGACGTTTAGCGGCACGCAGAACCAGCCCTGTCATCTGAAAGTGCACCAATCCAGAATTACAAGTTGGATTTCGGGGCCGACTAAACCCTTAAGGACAAAAATTGTTTCGATCGGCTGTAAACTTACCATAGCACCTAAATATGTTGAAAATCTACTTAAGTTATCAGCATCAAGGTGCTAATAGCGATGGGTATACATACTGGATTGTCGAAAAAGTCTTGACCATTTTTCTAGCTAGATGTCTATTTCATGTAAAATGAGTTGCGTTGGAATGCTTTCATCCAGACTTAAGATAGAGTGCCTTGGATATAGACGAGATTTTTGTAAAGAATCTCCCGATTCTACAATTTTATTACGATACAAGCACAGAAGCTGTCCAGGCTTTCCCAAAAGGAGAGTGTACGCTGTCTATTGTCAAAACACGTTATGGAAGGAAACGGTGAAGATGGTTCTGTCACTCTCGTTTGAAAACTTCGATGTGAAATAGGCCACTCGTAGTCACCAACTAATTGCGAAAAAAGTCAACGAAGTTACTGTATAAGTTAGGCAAGGCTGGCACACAACCAGGAAAAACATCGCCAACATCGCCAAGTAACTGAGCACCAACCTTCAAACAGTTTAAACCATTTGACGAAAGCTGGCTATAAAGAAGCTCGACATTTGGTGTCCGCACGAAATGACACAAAATAATTTACTCGATCATCCATAATGATAATATGTGGAAAGCAAAAAAAACAAATACGTGTCATCCATAATTTGCGGCAAAACGCCGGGTCTGTCAGACGCCAAAGAAGGTGATCCTGTGTGAAACGGGATTATACATTTGTAGATGCTTCCGGCGACTTGAACGGCTAATTCGCATCTCTACCATCATCAACCATTAAGTGTACAAAAAGCAGTTGAAAAAAATCAACCGGAATTAGTGAATAGAAAAGGCGTCGTTTTCCGCTACGACGATGCCAGACCACATACATCTTTCACTACCCGGCAAAAACTGAAAGAATTTTTATGGGAAATTTTAATGTTTCCGCCGTATAGCCTGGATCTTATATCTTACACCATCTAACTATCATCTGTTTCGGTCTCTGCGAAACCCCTTTTATAGCGTTAATTAAGCTTCAATCATGCAAGATGACTTATCATAATTTTTTAGTCTAGAAACCACAGAAATTCGACGACTGTGACGGGACTGTGATGTTACCAGGAAGATGGCAGAAGGTAATCAATCAAAATAGCACATACTTAATTTAGTAAGATTATTTTCAAACATAAAAAAAATTGCTTCAACGTTTACTTTAAAATGGTCAATATCTTTTCGACAACTTATTATTTTAGATATTTGTACTAGCTATGTTCGAACAGTCTTACAATTAAGTACAATCAGCTATCATCGTGCTTTCCTAGCGTAATGAAGAGAAAAATGCATATGTATTAGAGAATCCCATACGCATAGCTGATCGACAGACAAAAGTAGTCCCAAGGACTCTCGTAGTGTTAGCCAGAAAATGGCGTAGTATAAGCTACACATTCAGTTTTGAAGTTATCATTTTTAATTAAAAAATGAGATCATTTTATATGAAAAACCAGCGATTTTCACAGTTTCAGACGTAGAAACTTTTTTTTTTTATCGACTATGCAACAAGTGGTATTTGCGTGCACATAGTTTAAACAGAGCAACTTAATGGCCTATCATGCTTTACCTAATACATTTTTTAGCTTTTACGTTTATTTAAAGCGAATATATTAATCTAGAATTAGAGCAATTGACAATGAATTTGGAACGAAGAGTATCCTTTTTGATCTAAGATGTAGATATCTAAGGAAGCCATTTTATTTCAAATAGGTCCAAGTGTTTTCATTCTAGCTACCGTTTGTACATCCAGATAAGTCTCGTGATACTTCTTTTGTGGTCGCAATCCAGCAACGTCTTGCACCAGCTTAGCATCACCTTGATAAAAGTGTGGAGCAGAAAGCATGACGGGCGCTCCTTTGCGACACGAGCTTAGGGGAATAACTCCACCCTCATGACATCGGTTTATCGCTTCACAGAAGCATTGATTTTCTGGCTGCCGCTTACCAGAGGCAAAAATCGCATCCGGAACAGTAAACCTAAGGGAATATTAAGAGTATTTGGCAATAGTTATCTACTACATTCGAGTTCTTTAATATACTGCTAACCCTATAAGCAGCAGTAGAGAAAATTTTTTTATGTGTTGTCTTGCTGCGCATACTACAAAGGCCAGGCTTATTTTGGTTACTAGCTTAATATAAGAGTACATTGAGACTTAAGAACAGACTTCGAAGTATAACTAAAAACAAGAAAGAACTCAATTAGAGGCTGCGATTCGAACAAGTCGTCTTTGACTGTACCTCCGGGATTATGGGTTACGCATAATAAACAATACGGAATATCTAGATTTGAGAAACATAACACAACCTCAGTATGTTTGCAAAGTCTGTATGTATAGGACACTCCAATTGGGGTTGCATAAAAGTGCGAAACCATCCTTCGGCTAGGACATGTCTACTGAATGTCCCACGTGGACCTATACCGCTAAGCAAAAGAGCACACATTACGTATTTTTCATTGGGCCCACCATTGTTTCATAGAGGTAGTACTGGTAAATAGAGCATGACACTTTGCGGACATTTCTTAGACTACAACAGAACCTATCAAATTCTCTCTTAATCCGACAATTACGGTTTATATATTTTTAGTTTAGCCAAAAGCTGAAAAAGCTGTTTCTATGTACGACTCACTGGCGGTCCAAGCATAGTCTCGTGTCTAAGTTTAGCTAAAAAAGCGGCCTAAGGCCTAGAGTGATCAGGAAGCCAAGGTTGTTTGTTTTAGTGTAAGAGTTGTCTCGGTGAAGTCGCTTACAGGAAGCTAACTATGATCATCGGAAGGTTAATTTCTTCATCAGTATTTTGATATATGCTGCAGGTACGACAGTTTGTTGCCGAAGGTATTCTGAGCGATCACAAACAGAGGGAACTACAACATCGGGCTGTTACGTGTATGCTGTACAATTTAGTGTCTTTCTTATAATCATTTAGCGATATCGATAAGGAAGACGATCGTTCAAAGGTCAAATGCCTTTACCATAAACGGATCGATAACATGCTAAATTATTACATTGCCTAAATATCCGAACTCACCTTTTCGTATCAACTCCTTTAACCTGGGTATTCTTTTCGTATTCAAAGTATATAGATCGGCAGAGGTCTGTGGCAAAAACAAACAGCTTTTGATCAGTTCGCACAAAAGGCGAAAATTGTCCACCGTCGGTGCCATTGATCTTGTTGCAATTATCTCTGCTCCAGAAGTCTAATGACCTGCGATACACAATTTGGCATGCAAATAGTGAAACATGTAATCTACCTGACGTTCGCCTATATCCTAATTGCAACAGGGTAACCAGGCTGTATATTTGTTATCTTTCGTTTAATCCAACTCAAACACTGTAGTTTTCAACATAGTTTCTCATTTCGGTCCCAATGACAGTACGAAACAGCTTTTGATGAGCTTACTGACCATCGAGACGTCTTAGTTTCGATAAAAAAAAACAAAAAGAATGTTAGGCGATATAAAACGAGTTTCATTGAGTTATCTTTATTACCTATCAATGTACTGACCTACGACCCCAATGCACAGCCACTTGTACAAGTGTAGTATCTTGGCTTCTAGCGAACAATGATCTAATAATTGAAAAGTCTATTTTCTATGTAACAGTAAAGCTTCAGTCCCCGGGACGTAATATAAGATGACGCATGTCACGGAATGAATATGCCCCTAATTTCACAAAAGGTCCACGGAAGTGCATTGACGGTCTTTTGAAAATAAAAAAAAAAAAAACGAAGTATCTGCTAATAGAGAAAGTCACAAAAAAAATGTTACCTATTGAATATACGTACGTATGGTTATTCCATTCGAGGATCGTAGCGAAAGGATACTCGCCCGCTCCCGTTCCGACGGTAAACCACTGATCAGCCGTGTTGTTCTTATTATAGAACAGGCCAAAGTTGCTGATAGCCGGAAGCTTGGTATCAGGCATGAACGCCGCAGCAAGCTTAGATAATTCATTCATCATTGGTACCGCGTAGCCATCAAATAGCATCTCACTTACGTTGCGTTGGACAACTAAAAGGTAGAAGCGAATATTCTGCTGCTATGATCGTATTGTGCTACGTAGCAAAATCGCTGATACAATATGTTACCCATATAAAAACAAACGACCTTGATAAGAAAGATGCTTTTTAAAAGCTGTCCAGTTTTAAAACGTATTTACTTTTTCCATACATGTTGGCGCTTTTGGAACGTTTGAATGTTTAGGGAGTGTTTGAAGCGGTAATTGACATCGATACATTACAGAAAAATCTGATTGTTTATCAGAGTCACGGCACTAATTGAAGCTACCGCGCAGACGTAATCGTTAGTATCTGTCCGATGACCAAAAGACGTCTAACTGAAACTACTTTACCGCCGGTGCATACATCAAATCATAACACATCATTAACGTAAATTGCAATCAATTGCTACCGATGTACCCTTCAGATGCATCGAATAATCACTACAAACTAGACCAACTTGTTATCTTGGAATCGTAGTGCTTACCGTCGGCCTACAGGTAGAACCTATAGAAGACCTGCGAGTAGGTCGTTTGGGTTTAAATCTTTCTTACAAAATTTATTTTCACAAACAGGAATTTTGCCGTATTTCAAGTTTACCGCATAGCTTCTATACTTATCTATATAATATTTACGTTTAGCTTTGACGAATATGACTTGCTTTTTGCTGCAAAAATAAAAAAGAGAAAAATTACTTACCTTTGACTCTTCCAATATAAATAAGTGTTCCGTTGTGCGTGGACTGTTCCACGCCACGCACAATGTTCACAAAGAATTAAGCGCTGTTCTATCCGAACATTTTTGATAAATACATATTTACTGATCTAAATTCTATCAGGCAACACTCAAACACTTCAAATACATACATCCGTTATAATAATTTGAACTGAAGTAAATATTTTTGCACAAATATCTAAAGGCAGCTGACTATTCAAAGCTATGTAAGGTCCTGTAATTAAATATTAGGTTATCTCGGATAAACACAAAAATTCTATTATCAATCCCTGCCACGGTAGTTAAAGTTGCATAAACTTACTTCTTACACATTTTACCCACCGCGTAACACTATCGTAATATATGCGAATGGACTGCTTAAAGCCAAGTTGGGTTTTTGGCAAATTCACTGGGCTGTGGATTTGAAAACAACATTTTTATACGGTAATACTACCTTTTGAATAACTCGCATCAGAATTATTTATAGCACCTCATAAGGCCTAGAGAAAAGCAATCGAACTGTTAATCATCACGTATGCACGTACACAAGAAGACAATGCTTATATAGAAGTTAGTAACCAGGCGAGCGGTAGCGACTATAAACCATACACTTAATACCAACGAAATTACTGGATCCCCGTGACGGTGCAAATCTAAAGTGTTTGTTACCGAGAGTAGATAACACAGAAGTGGTCTGAGTAAGAATCCGGCACAATTTTATCTCCTAAAATAAATTCAAGAAATACGGGGAGCGGTTAATACACGAAAGTAATCCCCTAGGTGTTCTAGATTGCCCGTGTCCTGATAGGTCCTTGATGCTCTGCTAAACAGAGGTACCGAAACCTATTTTAGAAGGGGCAGCTAGAATCCGTCGCAAAGAGTTTTTCAAGAAAATCATTCTATCTTTGTTGGAATGTTGCGCCACATGAAGCATAAAATTTTAAATTAGTCTAATCATATGTTCCGTTCTCTATGACATTTTTTCAATGTACAAACGTTAAATCATTTAGTAAAATAAAAATTATAATACCAATACATTGAGGCAAGGGGCCTAAACTCTGGGCGAAAGCACAATGAGCTGACCAAGATTCTGATCTAAACATTATGCTTTTCAAAAAATAAGGTGAGAAATTCCCACATACTTCCCGTATTCGTTAGACTTACCATGATTTCACCTCGCAACTGGAAGACGCAAATTAAGTCAAACTTACTTAATATTAGTTACATTAACTGCGTTATACATGAATTTATATGAATGAATATCGTGAGCGCATAAACAGAAACAGCAAAAAAAAGCCGTGGTTTAGTGCTACGTGTGTTTAAAAAGAAAGAGGAAAGGGGGAATTAAAGGATGTAGTAAAAGTTTGTTGGGCTTGCTAAACGACGCGTACAAAAACAATTTGGCTATAGACCCTTGTACGAAAATGCTTGTCTTCATTAGTTTCATTAGTGAAATCTTCTGCTTTAAAAATCTAGCTTTAAAAGTCAGAAATCTAGCTCAAACAAACAACCTGAAGCCTGCGACAGACTATACGAGGTTAATTGGCACTTGGCTTTTGAGAACACAGGTCATAAAGACCGCCTGTTTAAAGCCCTTACCTAAATTTATTTTCTTTATTGTATACAATTATCTGAGAAGGCTACAGTAACTCAGCAGCAAAGTAACTGTTCGTTGTCTTCTATGAGACTGCCTTAATTTTTTCTATTGAATACACCCTTATTTGAAATTCAGCGTGCCAGTGTTAAGCTAAGGTCACGAGTTGTCTTGTCACTTTATGAGAAAAAGGAAAAAGGGGTAAGCCTTTCAAGTCCTTTTAATATCCTCTAATTGTGTTTACGTTTATTAAACGAGCCGCTAGCAACACGTCAATATTATTATGGTAAGCCACCATACTAAAATAGTTGTTTATTTTGTGGACAACTTCATAAAGCTGTGCACTTCACGTACGTAGATATGGCTAAACATTTTTGAGTAAAATCTATGTAAGGACTGGGACACATCGAACCTAGATACTAACGTAACGCTCAATTTGTTCTATTATTATACCTGCAATAGACGAATCGAGGCTTGTGATAGTATGGGTAGGAGAAATATCAGAAACTGTACAATAGCTTTAGCTGTCAGATGGTTTACAAGTGTGAAAGTAAATCATGCATCGTGAGCCTCCGTTACTAGTAATCTCAGCATAATGGAAGAATGATGTTTAATTATTCTTTCTTATACGTGGTCCGGCACATGTTTTTCGAGTTTCATGTCTGGTGCTTTTGCCAAGCATCACCCAGACTGTCGGTTCTTGGCAGATAGTGTGGTGTGGTTATATCCAGTTTTATTGTTTTTATTTTTCTAAATTTACTTCATGTTTAGATCCCTCTAGTGAAACTCGGACTTTCGTGAACAGGAATACAGACCGATGAATAAAAATTGACCGGCTCGATAATCTCAGGTCTCCTTTTGAACTTCCAACTTCTCTTGACGCGCTATGTGCCATCTGCAGCTGTATCGTCTCTGCAAATCTGGCTCTTTTTATCTTTTTTCTTTCAATAGCTCTGCTATGGTCGTTGACCCAATTTTCTGGTCGCCCGTAACGCTATATATAGACTTCACAAATTTTTATTTGCCTTCTCTCGGGATTACTGGTACATTTCTGCCTCTTCAATCACAATGTTGGGTTCTTTCTGTTTTTTTTTCCTTTTTGCCGCGTTTTTAGGAATGCCTATATGTCGAACAGATCAGTAAAATTTAAGGTGGGTCGTCATCAGCCCCTAAATTCCAATAGACGCAAGTCTTTAGCGAAGCGTAAAGAAGAGATAGGTTTGAAAATTGCCATAGCTTATTACGGTTTAGATAAAAAAAAAAATTTAGTGATTTTAGTGAATTAGTGAATTTAGTGATTTAGTGAAACCAGATTGGTCCAGCCCATCGGCTTTGACCAGTGATACAAGATTACCCTTTGGGATGGCCGTATATTTTCGGTGCTACCCTTCTATGGCGATGACCCTTACCGCTTGTTTTATTTCTGTAAATCGTCTCTGCCCCAGGGACACTTCCTTTCTCTGATTTTCAGGTCCCAGCGTCGTGTCTCAACTAATCGAAGTGCTGCAGGCGTGCTGATCGTACGATATGCTTATATAATGCGGAGTGTGACTATTCTCTAGTCTTGCAAAGATTTTTGCTTTTTGTCGTCGTTGATGCCGGTTCTCCGACCAGAGCGATCAATTCCGTGGCCAATGTCAACAGCCTGTGACGGCCTCGCTTATTCTTTCATAGATATTTGGGAGTATCCTCGCCATCTAACTCACCGCTTACCGACAGTAGTTTTTACACGTAAACTACTATCAAGTGATTTGTACGAAAACACTCCCAAGTACCTTGCCCCACTTGGTAACCGATCTTAGATGATAATTGATTAGCCGTATCTTTCTTGTACAATGAGCAAGATTTGCTTACTTTTCTCTGGGGCACATTTTAAGCCTGTTTTCGATATCCTATTTGAAACGATATGCTTGAAGTTAGGTTCAGTTTTCTGGAGCACCCGTGTTGTTGCTAAGAGTACCGAGCTACGCCTCTTGAAACCATATCGTAGGCCAAAGAACGTATAAAACTTTGCGAACTTCTGGAATCGCTTCGAAACCTTTTATAAGGGTGCTAGTTAAGCACATGCGTCTGTATCTCACGTTGCCGTTTGGTATCAGCACCATCTTCACTTTCTTCCATTGACAGCCTGCTTATCCCCTTAAAGATTTATCTTGCCATGTTCACGATTAGTTCCGGAAAATCGTCGAAGAAGATGCTAATTGTTTCGAGAAAACGCTAGGATTACAGTGGGTGGCCTATCCCCCAAATAAAAGTATGTTCGCTTATATGCCCCCACGTCTAAAGTTTACATGCAGAGATAACAGTTTGCGTAAAATGTGAATGGTCTTCTGCTTGGTTACGTCACTTCAGAGGCGTATTACCATTGACGGCTTTGTATAAGTGGCCCCAGTTATCTTAGTTTTATCGAGTTGCTCATTTGGTATTTCCGTTTCCGATTAGGTGTTTCATGGTGGCTTAGCGTTCTTCATATGTAGTCACCAGCTCAATGATCATTAATGTATCTCCTCTAGTTTTTTGGATAACCCTGTGGATTTGCAAACACGCTCTAGCACCAGCAATGGCTGTACTCCATTAGTATTTTGGCTGCATCAGCTCCACGCGTGGTAGGGTCACTGGCTACTGAACGAGCTTTTTAAAATGCTCTGCAAAGCTTTTCCTCGTCTTTGTGGATGTGTGTTGTACTGTAACTCTTTGCATTAGATCCTTGAAGAATTCTAGGTTATTCAGTCTGAACCCCTTTTGACGAGGGTCTGCCTTTGATGCTCCTTCATTATGGAAAGTTCTATACAGTCATTTTTTCTCTTAAGGCCACCTGCTATTCAGCTACTATTTTAAATAAATTTGTGCTCACAACGGTAGGATTTAAAAAGAACACCCTTCCTGTCCCTTAAGAAGTCGGTTTTATAGCATCAATTATAAAAATTTGGTTGTTTGTTTAGATTTAGGAAGCCTACGATAATGTATGCCCTTTTTCTTGCCATCCGTTTCATTCTAAGCTTCTATTTCTAAACACCATTCTCATACCAAACATTGTGTTGAGAAATAGAAGCCTATCACTTCTTCCGTTAGCTACTTTATCCATCGCTGCTACGATCTGTCTTACTGAGATGGCTGATCATTACAGGTTAGGGTGAAGGTCTTTTTTTTTTCTAGACGGTCTTTAAATCATTCTTTCGAGTCGTTTTCAAGTTGACCACTACTGGTCGTTCCTTTTGCAGTTGCTTCCTTGTTACCATTTCACCTTCTTTTGTTGACTGTTGCCGCCGGTTGTTGCTCTTGTACCGTTTTCTTCCAATTGCTTCCTTGTGCTTTTAGCCTAACGACGGAGTAGTTGCATGTTCCTTTGCGTTATATTTATACTTGCAAGAAGATCAGTTGCAGTTTTGTTAGGCCACCAGTTTAGCCACAATTATGGCACCTTTTCCTTTCAGATTTATCGTATTCTCGGATCGTTTTCTATTCGCTCGGGCTTCAGAAAAGGATTTACATCGCTCAGAACTACCGTTGCGAAAGGACCAACCGCGTTCAGAACGCCTACTTCAGCGTTCAATTCCTTACGGGTTGTTTCCGCAAACATAGCCTCGTCGCCAGTGGTAGTTTTAGCTGCGCTGATGGCTATGTGGCCACTCTTAGTCCCTGTGATCGACCATGAAAAGTATCCGTAAAAATAAGTCTGTGATAATTCTTGGCCTTTTTCTGGTTGTAATATTTGTATAAGGGCCAGTTAACCGCGAATATTTCGAATCTAGGCGACTAATGTGTGCATAACTTTAATAGACAAACATGGTTACCACCATAATGACTGGGTAAATCGGTTTCAAAACACATTCTCTTTCAGAAATGTGCACCTGTAGTGAAATGTTGTTAGTTTATTCAGAGCTATTTATCAGATCCAAACATTTGAATTACCTTCCAGTGGCATGTTGGTATATGTTACATATAATCCACTTTATTATTCACGGGTTAATTTTTTGGAAGCTTCTCAATAGCTGCACACTTGTGATTTGTATCACCCTACCTGTTCTGGTTATTGATAGCTGTTTGAAAGAATCAAGGATAGGATATTCTATGCCATCTAGTTCCTGTTTTCAGGCGAAGGAACAATCAGAATCGTACAGACTTAAATCTGAAAAAAAAAAAGGTTAAAGCCATCGCTGGATTCTCTTTTGTTCAATTCAGGCGATAATTGCAGGTTATCGCAACGAGTTGTGTTGACGAGAAGCAAGACCGCGTGCTATTGCTCGCCATATTTCATGTTTACGAGGTTTTTCAAGAGTTCGAGATACCTAGCAGCACTGATTACTTTATTTTAAGCAACATTTCATAGTAACGCACGCCCTCAACATGCTTTCCCAGCATGAACCTGAGCCTACGCTCGAACCTATAATATTCGGTACAGACATTGAAGTCGTTCTCTCTCTACTGTCTGATACTATTTTTCGACCTCTTTTTTTCTTTAATGAACGTTTTGCTCGGCCGGCCCTCAGTCTGGATGGTCTCAACTTCCGACCCTGAAGTCTCTGTAAACACTACTACGGAACCGGTGAGGTGCATATACTTAACTTCATAGTTACGCGACCTAAATATATATTCCTCCAGCATTTGAAGGGTCTAAATTGGTTTAGAATAGCAGCTTTCTTAATGTTTCAGCTGAGTTGTCGTTTTATTGAATGTCCCTTTAGTATTTTTACCTTTTTTTAAAAGGATTCCTTCAAGGCTCACACTTTCGAGAAACACTACAATACCAAACGACATCTTAGTCTCTAAATGCATTACAATCTAAAATAGCTATAAATAAATATAAATAATTCGCTAAGAACATAAATATTTACCAAATTACAGTGTTATGTACTCTAACAACTAAGTATTTCAAGCCGTTAGAGAAACTGATGCCTATAATTCTAACAGGACGTCTTCGACCTACGTTCGCTGTCGCTTCAGGTTATCATCGCGCAATCCAATTATAATAACTGTCATAAACCTTCCGTGTGCATGTATATACATATCAGTCTTATTGATGAAGCAGGTTTACACATTGAAAGATACCAGGGAAAAACCATTGAAGAAACTTTAAATGCTTGAATTAATATCTGCGGAAGAAGAAAATAAATTATAGTAAATTATCATAAAATTAGCTATTTATAAAGGGACAATAGTAATTTCGGTAAATAAATATTTATTATTATTTTACAGCAATACTTTTTTAAACAGCGTAAAAGCCCAGGTTCTACCAGACCTCGGCTTCATTTGGAGGACTACTACGGCATTGACGAAAAAAATACGATTTGAAGGGCTTAAGGTTACCCGTCTGGAGAGTGATAAAAATTCTGGAGTATGTTTTATTTCTAAGATATTCGTTTCACAAATTATGATGCACTGTTTTTTCATTAAGGACAGAACATTGAACCTCAGCACCATACCAATCGCGTGTAAGACGCGATAACTAACTCTAGGTAAATGTTCAATATCCAACTCACGCGCAGTAACTAACGAGATCGCCAACACAGTTTTGCAGGAGGGGCGAAACGGACAACTAGAGTGCATGTCTGTTATTAAACATGTTATCCATTATAAAATCGAAGATGTCTGTGGCACCGTAACGATGTAACCAAGATGGTTGGTAAAAACAACTAGAATGAAGATTTGCTGGCTAGAAAGAAATAGGCTAGCTCAAACTTAAAAAATTGTAACGCAGTTAGTCTTTAGTTTAGACCAGAAAAAGTCTGTTGAAAGGTAGCAAGGCTATACTTAATTCAAGTAATGAACAAATAGTAGGCTTCAATAGTATCAATTGGTGAAGTCGATGGAGGTAAGCGTACTCACCGAGTTTCTCATTATGTTTTTCGAGCAGGCCCTCGAGAATCGGCTGTAGTAGGGATTTCGCGAGGTCTCCTGGCAGCTTAGAGCCAATCAGTTTGTCCATGGCCACTAACGGTACATTTAGTGCATAGAGTCTATCATCAGGAGTGCCGATTGAGTATTCGGGAAGAAAATGGTAAGACTTATAGTCCTTGTACGTCACCTGTGAGAGTAAATTTCTTATTTACAACTATGTGGTATTTGATGGGTCTAAAGATATACTTAACGCGATTACAATCGTAAGGTTACAACGCTTACTAAAATACATTTTATGCTCTGTGGGTTGCCGTACGTCATGTAACGTTAAGTTCTCTCAAAGGTTTAAGCACGTAATTAATTAAATAATCCTTTTTTTTTGCGATTATACCTTTCTTCTTTGTGTAGTTGTACGTGAACCATTATGAAGTTTGAATTCACCTTACCTATAGCGCGCATTTGTTACATGGCATTCTCTGGGTCATAGGTGAACCCGGAAAGACCTAGTCACTAAAAAAATTATTTTGAACCTTCAGATCGTAAACGTTGATACGGTCCTGTGCACTAGACGAATCCCCGGGCATCCTTTATAGGACACGCATCTTTCGCTTGTTGCAGAGTGCTTATGCAAAATAATTGGTAATAAGTACCAGGGCGTTGATAAGGCCAAAAGTTTCCGACGCCATTTAATGAAAAGTAGAGTTACACATTTGTTCCACCGAATCGGCAGAAGGATCCGGGTTTATTGCTTCGTAACTTTCACATGCAGTTGACACAAACATGAATAAGCTAGTTCTATGCGAGTTATGCCCGACCCACTTATTAATCTAAGTTATTATTAGGAAGGATACTCGTTGAGGTTTTTCGACGTGATTTTCTAGCCAATCAGACCGTTTCAAATCGTTCGTTGCAGCTTATTGCCCATACGGAAATCTCTTCCGTATTTGCTTTCTTATGTTTCACTATGCAGTACGCTCGTACTTGAGGCCCTTCGCGCCGACTGTCAGAGTTGAATGGCAATTGCCTGCTCTCTATACGGTAACGTTACCAACGAATTTTCCTGAGGTGGTTCTTAAACGGTTTATTAGCGCTACGTTTTTGATTGTACATAGTCCGGGGAACCGCAGCTACAAGCCCTGTGTTGCAACGTACCTTTTCAAATAAAGACATTACTTAAACTCAACTACCAGTTGAGCAACTAAAGAAGCGAACAGAGAATATAGTGGAGTCCTGTTGCTTTCGCTTGCGCTGTACCCTTCCAACATGTACTTCGTTGCATGCCCAGCGACCGCTGATTCATTTTTATTTCGAAATATCTTGCATTCGTAGTTCAGCACGATTTTTTGTTAAATTTAAGTGTGATCTAAGCTCGATGCTCAGCTCGAGCCGCACCTGCAAACACTAAATAAGTTTTACATGCTAGAATATAGGCTTAAGCTTGTACAAGGAAACTAACTCCTCCTTTTTATATTACACCTTCTATTTTCTGTGTAAAATCTGGAGGTGCATCGATCCTTCTTCGAGACCGAGCAGCTAAGCATGCAGACAATTAATTTCTATTGTTGCTTATAGATGGAAATTGCATTTTGTTCTTTTGCTCTCACGCTGTTACGGTGCAGTATTATCTGTTGTATCTTAATCATTTTACGTTACAGTTATAATTGGTCCAATATGATAAGAGTTCGGATCGGTCGAAGGATGTCTGTCTGATTTAGCAAGGGCGGCCCCAGTCTTCGGTTTTCAAGTTCGTGTATACCGATGCGTTGTTGTCTTTGTATGTCTCCTGCAATAGCTACGATAAAATAAAAGATATGGCGTCATGATATACGATCGTAGGGATATCCGTATGCAAGGGAAAGTGGAGTCCTTGTGCTGTTATGTGGATTACGAAAAGAAATAGAATTCATTTGGGTCTGCTAAAACTGGAAGCGTCTTACACACCGGGAAATTGCTTAAAAGAAGAAAAAAGAAGGTCGATAGAGATTCGCAAATAACCTATTTACATGAGGGAAATGGAACTATCGAATAGAAAAGGTTCAATAAATATGCCAAAGTTATCCCTCTCTACGGCAGTGACAAACACACATGGCAAAGGCCTTGTTCGGATTTGAGCGCGAGGTTTCATTTCACTTCCAATATTCTTCAGATTCTCACTGAAGGAATATCTTTTTCGATCATTGACAAATAAAATTAATAACAGTACACTTGATAATAAAGAGGGTGTCGGCAGCTGGTTCATCGACCTCGACATTTCTGGAAAGCTCGAACATGAAAAAAGATCGTAGAATGAAGGTAAATTAAGTGAGAAGAATTGGGTCTTACGTGGTAAAGTTCCCCTGTAATCTATCTATCCTATCTAGAGGCATCGTTATCTAGAGGCATGCAGTTCAACCTGATCTCACAGTTAGTAGATAGGTTGCCGAATGATTCAAGTCTTAGACTGTGAGTGCATTCTCAATGTAAACAATAGTCTTCATTCTGTTTGTTTAGATATCTGACAACGCTGACCCTAAAGAACTTGAGAAAAGTGGTAAAAATATAACAACTCGACCTTAAAAAATCATTATCACAATTTTCGACAAAATCCCACTTTGACATTTTCGTTATAGCAAAAAAAATAGATAGAATAGAATAAACACATATCGAACGAAATCCTTCATTCGTTTGCCTTTATTTAAATCGATGGTAATATAACATGTAAGCTTTCCTTGTTCGAAACCAGCTTTCTGTGAAGTGAAATATGCTGTAATGGGTTTTTGACCCGTAACGAATGAACATCATGCCTAGTCTTGTTCGTGCACAAACCATTAAAATAATACGCGATAACGATTCAAGGGCAACCGAACCTGCCAAGTTGGTGGTGACGATAAATACACCGATCGGTTCTAGTCATTCGATTAACACTATTCAAGATTTCGAAACAAGGCAAGAGAGAGAGACACTGGTAAAGAGAAGTCATGACGACCTTCAAGTGTCTGTTATCGAGATTTCTTAACCGAAGCTGAATAAGGGCGCTCAACTGAAGTTCAATACGAATCTCTTTCAGGTGTCTTGCAAACCAAGTGCCCGGCTCTCTACCCGTCTTTCGTCGGTGTTCGAATTCAAAAAATAAAGAAATGGTCTATTTTTTTCTCTTTCGTTTTTGGTTTCAGATGTATTTGGACCTCGTGACTATGTAGGAAATACCGGAAGCCATACCGAGATGACATGATGTTTCAAAGCTTGGTTAGTCATAGTACGCTCCTTTCCTGTCCTGTCCTAAAAATAGGAACGAATGCATGACTACTGGTTTTGCATTGGTCGTTTCGAATTTCCTCCGAGGCATAGCATTTATGATTCCAACCTCCGAGAACAACGAGCCGCATCTCGTTTCCATCGGTAAATGGCTTGCTTTCGAGTCGTCGTGTGAAGTGCTTTCGTGTGGAATAGAAGGAGTTTTCTCGTTATGGACAAAAGGCAAACAAATCAAGCTCGAATTTTCCTTTGTGTCAAAGTCACCGACCGTCCATCGCTACAACGTCGCACACACATCTCACCGAGTGGACACGTTATCACTGATGAAAGCTCCTCAGGACTTCAGCCTATCCGCAGCTTGATGAACGACGCCCCTTCATGCACTCTTGCGGCGAGGCCATAACTACACATCTCACATACTTCCGAACACTTCGACATCTACTTGATTGGCCGACACATATTTCCATTTAGAATCACGCCATAGATCAGGTAGCCATTATTTCTTGCTGTCTGGATAAGAAGCGATTGCGAAAAGACTGGACTGTCCTGAACGATCTATTCCTTTTCGAAATGTGCTAATCGCCACTATCTCCAGTATGTATATTATCAGAACTTAGATTGTAAAAGCTAATTTTTTCCGGCCTTCATTTATTTTCTGCGCTAATCGAAATTCTGTACGAAAAAAAAACCTGTACTATGACAATTTTTATTCGGCTAACATCTGTTGTTGGAAGATAGTCAAATCTGAAAACATATCCCTATTAAATAGCCTTCGTTGATCGACGACATTTTCCGTATACTTCCAGCTCAAGAGAATTTACGCACTAATAACGTTGAGCAAATCGGCCTATTAAATGAACGGCGTAGTCTTGTTATTAACACAGTGGTGCAATGTGAGGTAATTGATACACTCAAGGTCACACTTCAATTTAGCGTACAATTCGGTTGCCGACCATTCCCCAGATATTATAAACAAGCCGTTATGGCCGAATGCCAATGCTGCAATACGTACTCACGAATCAAAGTATACAAATAGGAACTGTATTGTTTGGTACGAGCCTCTTGTAGTGCTCCGCTTATTACGGTGCATAAGCTTCATTGTTCCTTACGCACGCATAATCACAACTAACAAATAGACTTCGTTGACGCGAGAGGGCATCTAAAGAACGGTTCGTTTTTTTAACCCTATTACCGATCATTTAGGGCAATTTAGAGCGCGTTTTTTTATTTTAACATGTAACAGCACTGATTAGTACAGCCGTTCATACGAATCGAATAGGAAATGAAACAACATCTTGAAATACTGAATTAAAATGATCCCGCCGTGCATAAAAACAATTTTTTGTAAATCATATGCTGATCATTCTATCAAACTGCGGCCATCTGTGTACTAGATAAGGGGGTGCTGGGTAAGTTCTGTTGTCTTTTCCTTGTCCTTGAGAACTGCCATCGTTAGTCTAAATTTCGGTTCATTCGACACATGGCGTTATGGTGTTGACTACGAACAATTGCAGAAGATCGTCTTTGTCGGACGCCCTGAAACTGCAAGGCTTCCTGCTTGATGTGTATCGCTTTCTACCATTCAGTGGACGTCCTCCGCGAATCCCCTTTACCTATTGAAGTGCACGGATTAGTTTGGTTATTGACAGGAAGGACAACACACAGGGCTTTTTTTGCATACCGCAAAGCCGGAAGACTGACACTGCGCTCTTTAGTCATCTTCCTTTTAACAACAGCATGTGCGCGCGCGCGCTATTCATTCCAAAAGCATATATTTTGGTCGTTTTATATCTTTTCTAGCGGGTCTTTGCCATTTACTCAGGTTGTCCTTATTGATGTTGTTTCTGCTGAGGGAAGAACATTTCCATAAAATCAGAACTGCCAAATTTACCAGCACAAAAACCTGGAGTAAGCTTATTTGCACCCTGCAGGCGGGAGGGTCGGATTGCTCTA